TCCGGCTACAGAAGGCTCGATTTCTGCAGATGGTGATGCTAGGGTTAGAAATGTGTGTGTTAAGATCAAGAAAAGAAGAAGTAATCGGGGCATTTTTTGCGATGTTTGTATGGATTGCAATGGAGGTATACAAAGTGCCTTTTTGTGTTATATATATATAGAAGACAAGGGTGGCTTCCTGACAACCGGTCGTTTTCTTAAATCATAAATTCCCGGATCCAAGATGCTTTTGCTGTTTTATGTGTACTATTTGCATTAGTAGTTGTATACAAGTTTGGATTTTACAATTTTATGATATCTTAGATTTAGGCTTGTACTTGTGATGACGTCAGTAGATCTATTGTTTTGTCTGCAGAGTCGATGAAAGGCTAACTTTTGGTAATGGGGTGGGTTAATGTAATAAGATTTTAATTTTTTTTCAATTTAGGTTTTTAAAGTTTTTTTTTTACATATTACACCAAGGCTGTTATAATGGTTTAAAAAAATATAATAATGTTTTAATTTTGTTCCCTAATAGGTCTCTAATGTCTTTGTTCTACATATTACACCAACATGATTGATATAATCGTTTACAGAAGGGTAACAAGGTTTAATTTTATCTTTATTTTTAATATGTTTATCATTTCATCTAACTATTTTACAATTTATATTAATATCTAGTAAGATGGCTTCATCACTCATTTTAGTCGTCCATTCACCACAACCACGGTTTCAATCAAAAAGGTTATGTAAGCCAGTGGCGGAGCTAGGTCAAAGTAAAAGAGTATCCTCAAAAAATAATGAGATATCACCGATAAGTAATGGCTCCGCCAATTAGGTATCCCCGATAGACAATTACTTATCGGGGATACTCTTTTACTTTAACTTTAGCTCTATCATTTGCTTATAAATTATTTGAAATTTATATAATGACATAAAATTATATTTAAAAAATATGTTTTCTTAATTAGAGGTATATTTGAAAATTAAAAAAAAAAAGCTTTTAAAAAACTAGTATAAGTAGCTTTTTAAAATGCTAGTTTATAAGCTACTTTTTGGCTTAACAAACATGACAATTTAAAAAATATCGAAAAATAAATTAGCTTATAAGCTATCTGTGGAGCCAAACAAAGTCTTAATCATTAAGACTTTCATTATTATTAGCTTTTTTTCATAAAAATGAAAAAAAAAAATTATGTAACCTTTGATTGAAATCATTGTTGTGGTGAATGAGCAACTAAAATGAGAAGATGAAATGATGAAACCATCTAATTAGATACTAATATAAATTGTAAAATAGTTAGATGAAATGATAAACATATTAGAAATAGGGACCTAATGTGGACACAATTAAACCTTATTACCATTCTTTAAAGGTTATAACAACAATGTTAGTGTAATATGTACAACAAAAGACGTTATGGACATATTGTGGACAAAATTAAAACTTTATTACCTTTTTTAAACGGTTGCAACAACTATGTTGGTGTAAATATATATATATATATATATATATATATATATATATATATATATATATATATATATATATATATATATATATATATTAAGGACCTTATGTGGACAAAATTAAAATATTATTACCCTCCTAGGTCATTAACTCTAACGGGGTCGGATGGTTGATTTAAAATTTTGTTTTTTTTTCGATATTATGTTACATTAGATTGTTTGATATTGATATTTTCAATTGAATCAAACAAATAATAATTTTCAGCTTATTTAACGTTCATTGATAATTGCAAACATCTTCTGGTACCATAAGTCTAGAAGGAGGCATTAGTTTAATATTGTAATTACTTGTTTATTTACAAATCGTTTGTATTAATTATAAAATTAGGACCACTTGTTGATATATTGTTCCCCAAAATCGGAATTACCAAATGAATATTTAACATAAAAAAAGAAAATAGTACATATCAATCGAATTTATAAATTAATATAAAAATATGTACACGTGAAAAGAAATAGACTAATTGGAAATACAACTGTTAGGGGACATGATGTATTCTGTATGTGTTGCAATTTAATGATTTTGAAATTTAATAATCAAAGTATATGAGAAAAATAAGATCAGAATCTTCATATGTAAGTGCCTTTTTGGCTCTTCATTAAAAATCTATATTTATATCTATCATCATTATCATTATTATTATCATATATATATATATATATATATATATATATATATATATATATATATATATATATATATATATATATATATTCAAATGTTTTTGACAAGTATTGCACCAATAAGAATTCAGGAAATAATTAATTATTAAATAAATCATTTAAGGGTATTATAGTAATCTTGACATACTTAAATATGGTAGATAATTAATATGTTATTTATTATTCCTTTAAATATGGGATGTAGTCAAAATCTGGTGAAAAAAAACCCTAGCCGATCACGTCTACAACGATTTATCCTCCCTCTCGTTTTCTCAACATTGGTCCCTGCTATTCAGCGGGGTTTCAGAGGTTTTGGGCTACCGTAGAAGGGGAGATGTGCTAGAGGTTTATCGATCATTCACGTATCAATAGCAGCAACGACTAGCGATTTTGTGAAGTGTTCGATCCTACTATTCTATTCTTTTCTATTCTGCTAATCAGGTAAGTAGACGATTAATTGAATACTTGAGTTGAATTATCAGTTGGTAATTGAATGTCGAAATCAGAATGTCGATTACTGATTAACTGAGTTGAATTATCAGTTTGTATTTGAATATCAATTATCATTATCAGATACAGAAATCACTAATCAGAATTTCCATTATCACTTTCTAATTGAATACTTGAGTTATATTAAACAATTAGGGCGTGTTTGGCTCACCGATTCTAAAGGAATGTGGTGGAATTGGAATCTAAATTTCTCTAAAAATGGCGTTTGGATGAATAAAAGTGAAGGGAATGGAATTTCCAAAATTTCCATCAGATTCAGCATCCACGTGAATTGCTGTTAGAATATATTGATTTGAAGATTACATTTTTTTAATGTTTACTATATTCTATCAAAATTTATACTTTGAAGATTACATTCTATTAGAATAAGTTACAATTTTTTAATGTTTGCTATATTCTATCAGAATTACAACCCACATTGCCAATTTAAAATATTGTATGCATTCTGCCAAAATTTAAAATGGCATATATATATTCTGTCAGAATAATGGTAGTGCAGTAATGGTAATTGCACTTTAGAGTTAATGATTCTTTCAGAATTTGTGTTTGCCTTTTTTGTAATAGATTTGCTATGATATTTTTCCACAGAATGAACAGGTTCAGTAAAGTCATTCTTAAAGAATACGATATTTTTTTAACCATTCTTAGTTTTTGTTGCATTTTTTATAGGAATTGATTGAAGAATGGTTTGAAGACATGATAGGAAATGCTTGAAGAATGAATCAAAGATTGATCACACTCACATTTTAAGAATCTTGTTATGGTTTAAAGAATTACACTTGTTATTCTTTCAGAATTTTGTTATTATTCAAGAATGTTCTTTGTATCACAATCATACAATGTAATTATTTGATATATTATTAGTGCAAGAAGACATGTATTCTTTATAAAATGTTAGTGTTGATAATATGTTCTATAATTCTTTAAGCATGTTAATATATATAAATATTGAATATAATCATATTCTGCAAGAATAAAATCAAAAATATATTTACTAGTTTATGGTTGATTTTTATGTCATTCTAACAGAATGAAATCGGATATTATTAAAAATTATATTTAAATTAAACTTAAAAAATTCAGATTTTTAAAAATAAGGGTATTAATTATCCCTTAAAATCTGGAAATTTCCTTTTTAATATAGGTTAATTGACCAAAATACCCTTATGTTGAAATTTATGTGATTATATGGTACATGTTACCCTATTTTAATATCATAGACCCTCAGATCAAGATCATTGATTCTATTCCATCCGTTGGTCCAGATTTGTGCTTCCAGGCACACAATAGATATCAAGAACATTTGAACCTAGCCCTATATATATATATATATATATATATATATATATATATATATATATATATATATATATATATATATATATACTTATAAAGCTAGCATTTTTTTCTTGAATCTCATGCATTTGAAACCCTCTTTTTTAACTTTCTCAAACCACATTCATTTGAAACCCCATTTTTTAACTAATGCAACTCAATAGTTTTCTTAATTATGATTTAACACTCAAAAGTTTTATAACTTATATTATGTTTAATTAGCATTTAGTGAAAAGTTTATTATAAAAATGTCAATCTTTTGGGAAAACATGCATATAAATCATATACAAATCGCAGAAAGAAAACAAACTTAAAGATTTTTGTGTTAGGTTGAGGTCTTATGACCACATTTGGAGATATGCTATTATATTAGAGCTTCTAATTTGTATGTTTGTTATACTAATTCGTTTTTATATTTTATTCGTTTTTGGATTATTGTAATACAGTCGTTGTATATTGTTGTTTAATCGTTAATATATTGATTATATGTTATATAGGGTGATGTCGAAAATATTTAATTAAATATTTTAAATATGTTTTTTTTTGTTTTGTAATAGCGTTTCAAAAAGATAATTAATTAAAACTCATATATATATATATATATAATACTTTCCATCTCTCTCTCTCTCTCTCTCTCTCTCTATATATATATATATATATATATATATATATATATATATATATATATATATATATATATATATATATATATATATATATATATAGAGAGAGAGAGAGAGAGAGAGGAATGATCATTTGAAAATTCAAAGTTTCCCGATAACCAATTGTGAGCCGTTAGATCAAAATAATAAAAGGCTAGGATGCTCGGTGGCGTTTTTGTAAATACTTTGAATAAAAGATACGGGGGCATCATAATTATTATGAATCAGGGGCATTTTAGTAAATAATTAATTCAATCTCTCTCTCTCTCTCTCTCTCTCTCTCTCTCCTCCTGTTGTCTCATCGCCTCCTCCTCGTCGGAGATGACGTCTTCATCGGTGAGGTGGTCGAAGACGGAGACAAGTCATTTGAACACTGAGGAGCATCACTTCAAAACTAACCTCCGTCGTGCAAAGAATCACCAAAAGCTTGAACTGTCAGCTTGTCCACGGTATCACTCGATTTTCCGACATGAATGCATCGAAATTCTGAAAGCATATCGGATTGAGATCTGGATCTCATCTCAGGTTCCATGCCAACGTTAGTGAGGCTCCGATCATTCTGAAGAATGTTTTCCCGTATGATTTCAATTAGAGAGGATATGGTGCAGTCATCAATGATGTTAAGAATCAGGTACTCCGATTTAAACAATCAGTATCCTTCATCTGGAAATCTAGTAATATTTATTATGGTTAATGTTATCAATTGCCATGATTATCCAATTTTATGGATTTTTGTCCTACATACAGTACAAGGAATGTCCTCTTGACCTGAAAGAGGAGATTTGAAGTATCTTTTTTGCTGCTCTAAGATGTGGAGATTTTATTGAGTTGATCCAACTGCAGATGACTTTTTTTGGTAAGTATGTTTGATCTTTTTTGTTTTTTCCCTTTATTTAAGCCTTATATTGAGGATGTTTTGATGAATTACAAGTTTGAAAGTTATCATATAATGATTTGAATGCCAAAAAACAGTTGATAGGTTAGATTTCTTGATTTGCTATCAAGAAATCTTAGTAATATACTTGTTAATCTTATTGAATATTATACATACATATAGGGAATGTCCTATTGACCAGAAATAGGTGATTTCTATCAAGAAATCTTAGTAATATACTTGTTAATTTGATTATTACCAGATGATCATTACATTTTTTTATTGACAAATTCACCGGCTATTAGTCTAATAATTTAATTGATTGTTGCACTTCATGTGTAGAAGTTTGTTGCCATGTCTGAAAATATGGTAACACAATAATAAGTAACAATAATAGGCTTAAAAAGGCATGAAGTGTAGTTGATTTGGTTTTTTTGAATGATAGGATCCTGGAAATCTAGTGATGATTGTGTGTGATTAAAAGCTGAAGGAATTAATTGGATGTGAGAGCATTTCAGCAATGGGAATACTAGAGTTGTTGGTTAGACACCATTATTCGAGCAATAGTCTTGTCTTCTCAACTTACATGGACTGGTGTGTCACTTTATTCAGTAAAAAAAAGTTGATTTTGGAGGATGAATATGAAATGTAGTAGTTATTATGCTCATGTTTTTTTGTTTGTTTGTTTACAAATATTTAGCAAACAAGAATTGAGGAATCGAGCGTCTGACATATGATGTGAAGAAGGAAAGTAGTAGTAGTAGTATTAAAAGTTTTTTATGTTTGTTTTGACGGTTGTGTGGGTGTTGCTGACATGGTAATGGTAGTGTCTAGAATGATGTTGGAAATTGTTCTTATGTAAAACCAAACCCAACAAATGGTTTTCTTGTTGATGTTATGGTGATGTTTACCTTTACCCTTTGTAAATGCCTAACCTTGGTTTGTACGCAACTCAAGAATGTAGTAGTTAAAATTTCCAAGTATGTTAATGATCTATTTACTAATGTTTCCACCATGATTAAAAGCGATCTTCAAGTTTCATTACAGCTGTTAGCAATTGCAATTGATTATGTTCTTTTGATCGTTTAGGTTTTCATTAATCATATGATTAAAGGCGATGTTCAGATTCGTCGGCTATGATCTCTAAAATTGCATATATTGTCATGTGATTCACTTATTATGTTTTTAATTAATTAGCACTGGTAGGAGGCCTAATTTCTTAATATTGATTTCTATTAACAATCTGGCAGTTTGTTAATATGTATTTTGATTATTGAAATCATTCTATTTTAAATATATATATATATATATATATATATATAAAATATGTTAATAAAATATTATTGTTATCAATATATCTTAAAATGTTATCAACTAGAATAAAAAGTATTACTTGTATCTCATATTGTTTCTTTTTGTGCTTCTTGCTCCTTTCTTAATTCATCTTCAATTTTTTTTTGGACAATTTCTTTTGTCATGCTTTTCATTTGGAGTGATTTTCTTTTCACAATAAGAACAAAATCTTTAATTATTCCTAGCATTTTTCATTGCTATTTCTCTATGACTCTTAACTCACTTTCCTATTGCTTATCCTTTGTATGTAATATCTTTTGGATTCTCTATTTTAGGTACATCTGGCTTTGATACTCCAATCATTGAATCCAACTTTTGCTTTTTTGTACGATTATCTTTCTTTGGTGGATTTGATTCAGATTTTGTTAGAATTTCTTTTTGTCATTGAAGAAATTGAGTCATTGATTAAGCATCGTGTCCAATAATATTAATACATTTTGTGACTATAGAATATGCATCTTTTATCATTCTTTCACATCCACTAATATTGTCAGCAATACCATGAGTTTTTATCAACTTCTCAGGTCTTATTATACTTTTGTGCCATCTTCTCAACATACACTTTGATGGTATATGTTTTACAAATTTGATTTCATAACACATAGTATATGCCTGCATAAAATTCCATATTGTTCGAATACTAGGCAACCTAGAAAATATTTATACAAGACACATGTTAATTATATTGTTTTTCATTTAAATTTATATTGATTTAATCATTTAAATTTATACTATATTAATCAGTTAATTACATGTTAATTATATTGTAACTTAATCAAATTTCATTTTTCATTTTAATAACAACTGAATTACTTGTTCATCAAATTAAATTCAGATTTTAATCACAGGTAATTCACATATTATTTATCACATATGATTTACATGTGATTCACATGTAAATCAAAGGTAATTCACATATGATTTACATGTGATTCACATATGAGTTACATGTAAATCATATGTAATGCACATAATAATCAGATTTGACTCACATATAATTCATATATGAGTTTCATGTGATTCACATCCAAATAACATGTAATTCACATGTGAATTACTTGTGATTTATATATGATTTACACATGATTCCCAAATGATTTACATGTGATTCACATCTAAATAACTTGTAATTTACATGTGAATTACTTGTGATTTACATGTGATTCACATATGATTTACATGTGATTCACATGTAAATCATATGAATTACATGTGATTCATATGTAATTCACATATGAATCACATGTGATTCACATCTAAATAACATGTAATTTACATGTGAATTAAGTGTGATTTATATGTGATTGACAAGTAAATCTTGAGAAGATTCACAAATGAACAATTTGTATATATATCATATTAAATAACATGTAATTCACATATGAATTTCATTCATAAATAAAGTTATTTAATAACATACATACCTGGTATTAAAATTGCTTTCTGTTCTGACTTTTGAAAATATATGAATTTTTGTTGAAGAATACACTTCTATTTTGTATATCTTCATCCATTATTTGCTTAATAATAAAGTATGTTATATGATCTTGAACTCTCTCATATGGTGTGGTTGAGCATGTCCAGACATAATCTTCTATTTCTTTTTGAAATAATTTGAATATATTATGTGTGTAGAACTTTGATGCTAGTACTTCCAATTTAAGATTTCTTTGAATTGGTAGGTTACTATTTTTGCAATTAAAGTCAATTGTTGATTGAAGATTTCTTTGCTCATCCATTGTAGATTCAAATTTGCACATGAACATAATAATATTTGAATCTTTTGACATGAATTTTTTGAAGAAGCTATTTACACTCTCTGATCTTGATGTTGTCCTCATCTGCCCAGACAGTGCAGTGTCTCTAAAATAATTCGGAATAGAAGTTGTTCAAATATTATACATCTCTTTCAGCCATTTGTTATCTTCTAGTTTATATCTTTTTATTAGATACTTCCACTTTTCTTCAAATGTATCCAGACCAATACAAGAATTCCAAATTAGACCTTGCAATCTTTTTCTAAAGTTACTCTCATTTATTATTTTTGCTGAAAACTACAAAATAAAAAGTTACATTTAGTATATAAATGGAAAACATGATATTTCTTTTTCACATGTGAATGTTGTTTTAGTATTATAATAACACAGGTGATCGACTCCACTTTTGGTGACAATATAGAGTTGGCTCTAAAGTATGTTTTATTTTCATATTTTTGTCCCCTTTATACAACTTGATTTTCTTCCTTAATACATTATCAAGTATGTAGTGATTCACATGTAAATCACAAGTGAATCACATGTAAATCACATGTAAATCACTATTGATTCACATATGAATCATATGTAATTCACATATAAATTACAAGTGAATTACATACGAATTAGTTGTGATACACATGTAAATCACATGTGATTCACATATGATCACATGTAAATCACAAATGAATAATTGGTCATATATCAAGTATGTAGTTAATCATTGGTCATAATACATTGGTTTCTTTCTTTCTTTTTTTTTTTTGAAAAAAATACAGGTCTGTATACATGTCTGTATATAGCTTTGTATACAGTTATGTAAATAGATCCCAAAAGTACAATGCTTTCATCTGTGACTGAGTAAATGGGACAGTAAAAAATGTTTTTAATCAAATTATAAGTCAAATTATAAATGAAAACTTATTTATACATTATAATACAATTTTACCTTATCTGTTAATTTCTTTCCAATGTGCCACATGCAAAGACGATGAGTTAATTCATTAAAAACGGTTTCTACAGCTTTAGCCATAGTTGAATCTTGATCATTGACCACAACATGAGTTTGTCTACCAAAGCAATTGAGAAAACAATTGAGAAGCAATGTATAGAATTCCATTGTTTCTTTAGCTAGTAAACCAACACCAATTGTGATACATCTTTTGTGGTTATCAATTGTAGTAAATGGAACAAAGATCATATTATATCTTTAAATCATTAAAATATTTAACATAAATACTAAATGAAAATATTTTAATATATAAATATTAAAGAAATTAAGTATTACTTACTTGTTTGTTTTGTATGTAGTATCGAATGATACCACATCAGAGAATTCTTTGTAGTTTCTTTTTGTTATTGCATCTACCCAAAACAGTGCTCTTAGCTCATCATTCTACAATAAGTAATGAAAAGTTAAAGAAGACACATTTTTATGTCGTAGTGTTAAAAGCTTTATCAATATATTTGCATCACTATCTCCTATATAGCAGTTTAAGTCTCTTGAAAAAATTTTGTAGTCGATTTTCTTTGCACCTTGTTTACTGTAACCACCCTTTAAACCAGTAACCATGTTATGTGCTTTGCTTGCTCATATATTTTATGTGCTTAAGAGAGTTATAATTGTCTTGTCATAATGATCCAACTTTCTTTTCGACTTTGACATGTGAACTGTACTGTTTGTGTAGAGCTCATGGTTGTGTTTTTCAACAAATGTATTAATGAAAAACCGACCAATATTTTTTTTATAAATTTGATACACATCCTTGCTTCGCAAGAAATCATTTGGCTTGGATGTTTTCTTT